TGCAGTGTTTCATTCTGTTGTGCATAGGGTCGCTATGGGTTGGACCCAACTCGGTGCCACTTAACATCTACAACAGTTAGAGGAAACAACACAGGTAAAGTAATGTTGACCAGTATGCCTGGAGCCTGGTAGGTGCTCAATAAACGTGACTGACTGAATGAATGAATGCATATCTTTATTGCCAATAAGCTAAACATTTTTCTAAAAATAAGTCTCTTTTTTTTTTTTTTAAATAAGTCTCTTACTACTAATATTCGGTGTATTTTTTTTTCCTTTCAGTGCCACCGTGGGCCTTAATTGCCATAGCCATAGTCGCCGTTCTCTTAGTCCTGACCTGCTGCTTCTGTATCTGCAAGAAATGTTTGTTCAAAAAGAAAAACAAGAAGAAGGGAAAGGAAAAGGGAGGGAAGAATGCCATCAACATGAAAGATGTGAAAGACTTAGGGAAGACAATGAAAGATCAGGTAATGTATTCATGTCATATTTCTTCTTATATTCTTTTCTTAAAAATGAATATATATACATATAATTTATTGTTTTATGCCAGATAAGTAGAGAAACAAGGAACTTCTGGACACCAGTCATTGCAATTTCTTTAGTAATTATGCATTTGGCAGGACTTTCTTGTCTCCTGAGCATATAGCTCAGAAAGGGGCATTCATGACCCCTAGGGCTGTCATGATGGGTTCAGCACATTAGAGTGGTAATGACTATGTTTAGTACACTCTTTAGCCAATATTAATTGTATTTTGAAGTGCAGAACCACAATAAAATGTAATTGACTGTTCTCTCACTTGGGATCTTTTAACATTTCTTTTTACTATTTGTAGTTAGTGTCAAATGGCTGAGTGCAATCATTTCTCCGTATCTAGCTCAATAATTAGTCTTCAAGAATCATGGGTTACACAAGAGAAGGCAAAGAAGTGGGAGTTGGTCCTAAAGAGCAAGGCAAGGTTTTAAGGCAAAGATCTTCCTTCTGCACTTAGAGACAATCAATACCAGAATACTGGCTATAAAAGCTTTAAGCTTTTTCCAAAGTTTTAAGAATTTGTTAGGTTGTCCTTTATGGTTATATAATGCTTACTAAACCATTAGATGATTGCATTCAATATAATGTTCACTACCATTAATAATAATGGTTAAATGACTCCTCCCTTATTTTATAATCATATTTGCATTAGATGTTTGATTAATTAATATGAAATAAAATATAAATAAAGATGTATATAGAAATAACACTTCCCATTACATTATTCAAAATTTGCTTATTCTCAAATAGCAAAATATGCAAGGCAATTTTTAATTCCTCTTATTGTACTAATACTCATTAGTTGGCTCTTAAATATATGAATCTGCCTGCTTAATTTTAGGAACAATTTAACCACGTGTTGTAACAAGCATTTTCAGTACAGTTGCACAGTTTCTCAATTAAGTATACACAACACTACTCCTCACATCTCAACTTTAATTTGAAACTTTTTCTCAAAAGACACGGTAGGTTCTATTGACAATGACCTAAAAAAGGCTCAGTTTTCACTCCTTGCCTTTTGTTCTGTTCCAGCGATGGAATGGCAGAGTGCCTTTACTAACGCTCAAGAAAGTTTTATCTTGAGCTTAGAGTACGAAGGGTTAACTATATCTGCCAGTTGCTAATCTTCATGGCTATTAAGGATTCTTTTCTTCAATATTTAAGTAGCAACTAAAATTTTAAATCACCTCTTGGCTTTGTTGCAACATTTTACAGAGACAGCGAGACTTGGTACAGATTTCTTTAAGCAACTTATTAGGAGATTAAATGTGGAAATAATCTAATACATGACCAGAATAATATATATGTTAATTTCAGGTATATCTGTGATAACAATAACTTAAAAATATAATACTATCCTTTTTTTTACTATAGTGAAATTCAAATGCGGTTCCCTTGTATCCTAAGAATAAGAATTAAAAGTTTGAATTATGTGAAATGCTATCTATAAGAATTTATTTCTATAGGATAAGATATTTCAATATTGATATTTTTATTGTGGGATTTGTTCTGCATAATGTAAAACTGTAATTTATAGCATAGCAATGGTGTTTATTATCTCTGCTTTAACCTGGAAAAATGACCGAGATCTAAAGAGGAATATATACACAGAAATGGTAGTAGTTAATTTCTCGTTGCTCACCCATACCTTTAGATAAGGTGTGGGGGAAGCAGAGAGAATTAGTCAAATAGAGGAATACTAAAAAATTCATGACAGTTTACAATAACTACTGACTGTTTATAAAGTATTAAGAATGTCAATCACTCAGGTGTCTATAATCATTTTAAGTAGATCACTTGATCTATACAAAATTTTAGTTTGGTGTTATAGGTTATAAACAAATATAGTGAACTGAAATTGGGGCAAGTTAAAATAGGGCTCAGTGATAAACACTTATATAACAGCAATTTATGGTATTTTTCAAGGCAAATAAAATAGTTAAAGGTGGATCCCATCATTTTATGCAGCAGGATGAAGAATTAAGTATGTAAATTTTAAGACATTACATGATTATATTATATATAATGCATGATTCCAATTCAAAACAATACAACACCATGCAGAATTTTTCTCATATAATATTTTGTAAAATTTTAAGTCAAATATTGATGTGAGTATGCTAAAGACAATAGAGATACTCTATACCCCTCTCATTTTGAAAATGTACAAACATGAGAGGCATTTTAGAAATGATTTCTAAAAATAAATCTCTAGGGCGACGAATAAATTATCATTGCAAGCCTTTAAGAGTGCACTCAAATTTTCATTTTAATGTCATGGCCATAGTCTAAATAATCAGATTTTATAACCAAGCAAGAGTTTTAGAGTATTCTACAATGTTAACTAAAAGAGGAACTATCGATAGTGTATTTCTGTATCTCTACCTAAGATATATATGTTAATTTTCATACCTTAAAATTTGAGAAGTTGAACAGTACCAAAGAAAAATAATTACCAGTTTGCTAAGACTTTGTTCTGGAAAGGTCATTTCTCCATGTTTTTTTTACTAATGTCTGTGGATACTTTAATTTCTATTTCTTCCTTTGTGTCCTCCTTGTCTGTCTTGTGCCCTGTGACCGTTCTGGACTGTCCCTTGCGGTAGGTGGCCTGTGCACATTAGACCCCTAGTCAACGCTCGGGCTCCATTGAGTGGCCTGGCAGCTGGGCCTCCACAGCTGAGGCTGGGCCGTTCTGACACACATCAAGAGGCTGAACTAAACGGATATGGTTATAATAAAGCCTTCTCACCTGGAACAGTCCCAACATACATTAAAGAGTGAAGTGTGCAAAAGCTCAAGCTTTAAGTGGATGGGAACACAATGGCACTTGTGTCCCTGTGCTATTTCTTCAGCATGTTTTGAGGTTTTTTTGTCCAACCAAATTCTAAATCTGAACAATGAGGCTCAGAGAGAATAAATGCTCCCTCGGATGACATTGAACCAAGCCCTGTTTGAATGTCTAAGCAGGCCATAGGCATGTGCGCTGAAATCGTTGCGATTTTAAATAAGGTCTGATGTTCTCCACGGTGGTGTTTTTTTTTTTTCCACTGCAGTATATCAAACTCTCAAAACTACTGGGTTTACAAGCTCTTTCTTCTGTATTTTGCTCCATGGGGAGAAAAATACAGCTCTTGAGATATTGTAATAGCTACTGATTTAATGGGTCTGAAGCTAATGTAATGGTACAGAAAATGTCTTGCTTAAATTCAGCCTTTGGGACAGGAATAGACTTAATCACTCGGTGATGAACAATGGCACTGAGAAATTATCAAAAATTTAGCCCTATTTCATGCCAAATAATTGCAGAGATGGTCCTGTACCTTTGATTAGGGCAAAAACTACTTAGGAAGAAGGAGATTTAATATCTCAGCTATTTCAAATTGCACTGGGCTGAAACATGATATGTAAATTGTCAGTTCTGAGTGAGATGTTTGAAAAAGTATTTACTCCACGAGGGTTGGTTTCGGAGATTTTTTTTTTAGTATTCTGATAGAATGAGGTACAGATTTTTCAGATGGAACTGTGCATTGAATAGCTTGCTACTATTAAGAAAATTAAAATCTTACTGGGAGGTAATTTACCTAAGCTGTAATTTTCTAAGCGTATCTTCTTTGTCAGTGTTAAAGACTTAAACACAGCACAGCTAAGGAGCTCTGGTGGCAGACTGGTTAAGAGTTGGGTGCTCACCCAAAGATTGGTGGTCTGAACCCCCAGTTGCTCAGCGGAAGAAAGGTTCCAGGCTGGAAGTCCCCACAAGGCAGTTCTCCTCTGGCCCATCTAGTTATTGTGAGTTAGAACTGACGATACAGCAGTGCGCTTGGGTTTAGGGGCAAACTTAGAAAAAGTAATGAGATTTCACTGCCTAGTGTTCTCTGTGGAGCTTACTGAGTTTCATGTCACTTTACTAGCTTCTGTTCTCTCTAGTGAATCCTCCCCCAACAAGTTAGAAAATTGATGCAAATCTCTAAAAACTATATTGCTTCCTGCCTCTAGCTATCAGGGAATCAATATTTTAATATCCACAGAAATATCCTAGTAAAAGTAACTTTTCAAATTAAATGTGGTATGGCTATCCATATTGGAAAAAGTTTCTACACCGATATGATGGAAATTTTCAATTTTCCAAACCCACAGTAAGCTCCTAGGCACCCTAGAGGTGTAGTTGCTTACACTTTGGGCTGCTACCCACGAAGTCAGAGCTTCAAATCCATCAGCTGCTACCTGGGAGAAAGAAGAGGCTTTAGATAGGAGCAGTTCCACTCTGTTGTGTAGGATCACTAACAATCAGAATCAACACTTCAGCAGTGAGTTTTGTGCCGGCTCCTGAGAAATTTCCGGTTAAACAAAGGGGGTGGTATTTCAACCCTTTCTTTATAGGGCCATCTCTTGGCAGTGTGTTTGTGATGCCACTAAATCCCACTGTCTCTGGACCAAATTGAAGTTAGCTGGGTGGAGCCCTATTGAAAAATCTTATTAAAAAAAAAAAAAAGAAACTAAATGCCATTTTGATGAACCTCTGAGGGTCCTTGTGTAAGTGGATGTGACCAAAGAAAAGCTTTGTTCTGAGAACCCAGCGCACAGAAAGAAAAGCTGATGTAGTTTAGGTGCAGGGGAGAGTAGGAGTAACTGGAATGTGATGGTATGGATGCCTTTCTGCTTATCCTTGCAGTAAAAGGCTGCAGATTCTATTTGAACTTAAGGTTTCCTTTGCTTTTGCTGTGAGGTAGCCCATCCGCACGCACGCACGCACGCACGCACGTACAGAGGGGGAGAGGGAGAGAGGAGATGCCATCATCAAAGAGCAGACGAAAGACAACCTTTGTAACCTTTCATCTTTAAGCAACATTCTCGCATTTGTATGAAAATCCATTACAGTTTTTAATAAAAAGAGGTGCACTTAAGTATATTTCCTGAAATGAGCTTTCTAATAATTTCAATCTGTATCACACTTCAGCTTTAAGTTCTAAAGAATATTCAATTGGCCAGAATATTTGAGGAAGGGAGAACTTCTCCGGTATATATGTTCCTTAAGGCAAAATGAATTTTTATACCAATTTGAGTATTGGACAAAATATCACACAACTCTTTATCTTTTGATGTCAAACAACTCTTTCTATCAGTTTAATTCAGCCTAGCTTTTTGTGGAGCTGCTACAACAAAGAAGCAGTACACAAACTGGACCTGGGGTGAACTCTTCTCTAAGCATTGCATTGGCCGGTGGCATGTTTTGTTTTGTTTTTGCAGACACATAAAATATACCTATTTGCAAAACTGAGGGAATTGCGCTTTTCTGAGAAATAATTACTCTTATTCTTCATAGGAAATAAAGAAACAAAAGGCCATGCACTCCTTATAAATAATTCCATTGCATGTAATGATATTTTCCTTGATGCTTAGCATCTCTTTAAACTAAATGTGGAATCTGGCCAGGATAACAGCATGTGCATCACATTCTACTCTGAAAAGCAGCTGTTTTATCAGAACCAAATTTAATATCAAGTTGACCGTTTTTTTTTTCCCTCAACAACGTTACATTTTTGCTTGCAATTTTCTGAGGGGCTTCTTCCATTGCTTCCATGTTGCTTGCTGACTGGGCGGGTGTAGAATTCCGTGCACAAATGAAGTTTTTAAGATCCGTAAGCAGCAAATGTGTGTCAGACAAACTGAGATTTCCAGCATCTTAGTGCTTGCTTCATACAGCTTCGAAGTAGGCTCAGTTTACTTCGAGTTTTGTTGAACATTCCCTTGAATTCTCGTATCATCTCTCTCCTTGTTTAGGCTCTTAAGGATGATGATGTCGAAACTGGACTGACTGACGGAGAAGAAAAAGAAGAGCCCAAAGAAGAGGAGAAACTGGGAAAACTTCAATATTCACTGGATTATGATTTCCAGAATAACCAGGTCAGAGGGAAGAAAAAAATATGTCTTCTAATTCCATTACATTTTCAGAAATTACCAAGGAAAAATTGAAGCAAGATACTTCTTAAAACATTTTGTTTGCTATGAGGGGAAAATGCAATTATCAAAGCTATTGATGAAATAATTTCTAAGTACAGGCAGTCCCCTACTTGCTAATTTAACTTCTGGTAATTAGAATTCACAGTATTCAACAGATTACATCTACTTATGGCACTTACAGCAGGCAAGCAGAATATAAATTAACTTGCGGCAGTCAGCCTCCTTCTGGGCGCTCCCAGGACAGTGTCAGCCCAGCATGCTCCCTCTGGCCAGCGCTGGGGCAGCCTTCCCTGGGATTCATGGACTTCACCAAAACAGGGCTCGCACACCCTTGGAGTCAACATTTTGTAAAAAAAATGGAGAAGGAATCAAACATTGAAAAAATGACTAATGGACTTTGAATTTTAAAAACAGGAAAACTTTATACGTTTTCACGGTACTGGTAGGCTACTGAATGCGAATGACATGGCAATTCTAAAGAGCAGAACAACCAGCAATTTGATTTCTGATTCCTCCATCTGCTGTCCATGGTGTGAAAGAGAACTAATGAGGCAATAAAACAAGCCTTCTTGCTTCCGTTTCTCCAAAAGTTATGAAGTGCCACATAGTTAGATGATATTCTCAGCTACTTTTTATCCAGTGGCTCAAAGATAACTGTTAAACCTTTTTCCTACACAAAAAGAACTTCTAGGATCCATGACATGGAAGGAGATGTTCCTTTATCTTCTGAATCACAAAAGAAATGTAAAAGCTACATAAGAATTTGCAGAGTCAGCTAAGTTAGAGATCAGGGGCTTAAGAATCCTGAGGACCCAGGGGAGACTAAGGAAGTTTTAAATCTCTTCTCCAGTTTCATTTACACTTGACTCACCTTTTTGGACAAGGAAGAACTGACAAATGCAAAGTCAACAGTTACCACTAATGCAATACAGCGTGCCTGCTGTTGTTATTCAAATGTGCTTCAGAAAGCTATATGTTGGCGTAGAGGTACAGCTTTATCAGTATGGTTTGATTAAGGACTTGTATAGGTATATCATGTCTACTAATTAAATATGGCATTTTGGAGTAATTTCTATCACTTTTATCAAAATGTGATCATCAAAAATTGGTAGGGGCAAAATCACCTATTTTTTATGTATTCCAGAGAAGTCAAGATCAATTTAAAAACATAGCATTGTTTTCCTAGATATTTAACCTGGCTGTATATATGCATCCATTTTTTTTCTCTTTATTCATCTTATTCTGATACTCGTATTTTCCTGAAGAACTCTAGTGATAACTCATTCTGGTTAGTCATAATTTTGAACCTTCTAAATTGTCAGTGATTACTAAAAGTAGTATTTTCTATTTTCTATAACAAAATAAATAATAGCATTATTTTTATTTGCTTATATCTGATGGAAGCACATCTTCTAATCCTATTCTAGTAAACATTACAGCTAAATAGTATTTTGCTCAGAGGCTCTTGAGGATTCTGCCTGATTACTTTCTCTAATATCATGCATTGATCTGTTTTCCAAAGATTCTCAACTAACTTGATAGCTTTGTGAAGTAGGGAAGAGAAAGTCTCAGAAAGTTCAAAGATACAACTATTATCTAATGTATAGAAGGCCACCCTTACAGACTCTAGATGAGCAGCTTTTGTGAGGGGGTAGAAATTTGATATCGATTACTTAGACAGGTGTCAAAGGGACGTTGGAAGAAATTAATCTACTCTCCCAACAACAAAGTATCCAAAAATCATTAAAAGATAAATGACCTACCTTTAAAGAGGTTAAGCGATATATTATACTTTTCTTGCCAACAAAGAAAATTTGTTATAAACATGAGGAGGAGGAGGATTTGCAAATAGAATCTTGTGTATTAACATTGCTATCCAAAAGAAAATACCGTATATCCACCTGGCAAACCAAGAGATAGACTGTTTACTAATTCTGCATTTATATATCTGGTGTATATTCATTTTTATTCTCTGATCATCTTGCTGTGTTTGTCTACCTGCAATGCAGTACTCTCACAGCTATAGCTGTATGGGGATGCTACTAAAGAAATTTAAGTATTAAAATTGGGGGTGGGGGGAGAATCATTCAGGTTATTTTGGGGTCCAGGTCAAAACTTGAACCAATTAGCCAAAATGCACTAAAAACCATGGCAAATAATTTTTACCCAAAATATTGGTGGTGGTTTTTGTTTTTTTTAATGGCGGCAAATTGCTTTTCCACTGTATTAGCTTAAGAAGAGACACACTGCCATTTTCAGGATGTAACGTGAAAGGCTCTGGGGTGGCTGCACTTATTGAGGAGTAAGAAGGCGTGACAGAAAGTTCATGGGAAAATTCCCTTCGTTTTTCATTCCATCTTTCCATGAACTTTTTGAAGTCCCCTCAAGTATATGCCTTGAGCAACAACAAGAGAGGCTACTTTTGTATCCCAGGTGGATTTAAACAACCAGCCTTATCACACAACATATCTATGACAGCACAGCTAGAAATCCACTCGGAGCTTTTTTTCTTGCAAAATTATTACCATCCCTGGCGTAGATCTCATTGATCGTAAGTCTAAGGAAATTGACTTGCAGACTTGCAAAGATTTGTTATGTATCTGAAAACAATTAACAAACATAGTCACTTAAACCTAAACACCATAACCATAATCTCACCTTCACTTGAGCTAGAATTACTATTCATTTGGTATCTTTGACTCCATGTCCTTTATTTAAACATAGAATATATAATAATAATTACACTAGATGTTTAAAAATATTAGCCAGCACACAAGTTATTCAAGTATGAAAGAAACTTGAAGATCTTAGATTCTATATCAAAATGTTACCCAATTTCTAAGAAATTCTTTTTGAGCTTCTCTGAAGCGTCAGTGTAGAATAAAATGCTCCTATGTTATAATTACAGACTTGTGATTGTTTAACAATTTATTTCCACTTACAAATCATGCCCAGGAAGAAAAAAATAATGCACAAGGGCTTTTAGCAACGAGAAAGTTATTTGATTGCAACCCTTTTGCAAATATGAATTCCATATTGAACTGTAATCAGCAACCTTTTAAAAGCTTCTTTTGTGTTCAAGCCAGGCTGACTAGGGCCTGCATCTGTCAGAATTGGGTTTCTGATGTCTATACAGCTTGCTTCATTTGCCTTCTGAGTTCAGATTCATGAGGGAATAAGAGTTTATTAAAAGCAGGAAGAGGGACAAATCACAATACGCAGCATTGGGGGGGAGGGAATTAATCCTTCCCGAACTGTCCCCCAGAGTTTGTGTTTGCTGTTTTCTTTATCAGCTGCTTGTGGGTATCATCCAGGCGGCCGAGCTGCCTGCCTTAGACATGGGCGGCACCTCGGACCCCTACGTCAAAGTCTTCCTGCTGCCTGATAAAAAGAAGAAATTTGAGACGAAGGTTCACCGAAAGACCCTTAATCCTGTCTTCAATGAGCAATTTACTTTCAAGGTACTTTTTATTTTATTGATACTTAATTTTATGAATAACTTCTCCTTCATGGGTGTTAAATAAAAATGACTGATCTCAACCTTGCACATACTTGGATTTGTGTATAAGCACCTATTTGAGTATTCACAAATCAACCTATTCAGATTACCTTCAAACCAAGTAAGTTACAGTGAGGATTTTCGATTGCATTGAAATTTGGTCCGAGAAGGCTTCAGCTTGGTCCTTTCAGAAGACAACAAGGCTGTCATATTCACATCTCTATAGGGAGGTCTCCTTTGAAGGTGCCCTCACTACAATAAAATCCAAGAAATAATAAAATCCTTGCTTGTCTGAGCTTCACGGTTCCTGAAAATAAGCCCTGCCCCAGCTGTACTGTAAGGTTGAAGGGTCCATATAGAGATCACTCTGTAAAATTCAGTGTGTGCAGGGGTAAGTGGAGTACTCTACAGCGGCAATTCTTATCAATAAAAAAGTGGTGGAGGCGTGGGGGCACCTATCGCTTTTCTGCATTTCTACTTTGGGGGTTGGGTTTTGTTTTGTTTTGTCTTTTTCCTTCTTTTCTCGGGGCTCTTCCCTGGTGTTCTTCATCTTGCTGAGACACTTCGGCTGACACACAATGACAGGGAGGGAATCTGGCCAAATAATCTCTCCGCAGGAAAGCGTGCCCCTCAGGCTTCAGTCCTCAGTGCACACACACGTTTTGCAGCTCTTGGCTTGAAATCATTCATAAAAACAATGGTTTTGGTAGATACTGATAACATGAAAAAAAAATTTTAATGTATTACTTATAGGAATCCATTTCTGGAAAATCGCCATGCCTGTGAGTTTGCCAGCAGGCTAATTCAAAACCACCCTGTCCATCAGCCAAGCAACTGACAGCTTGGATCTCATGTAGGCAAATATTCGGGTGTGAAATAAGTGTATGAAGCTTAGGGCATGCGTCATTTCCCCAAACCTCATTTCCAGTTCTATAATGGGGCAGTCATTCTGTTCACTCAAAAGAATTTGAGTGTTCAAGACAAAAGTGCCTAATTTATCTTCAGTACACCGATTTAAAATCTGCATTTTCCTCCACCCAGAGAGTGATTCAGCACAGCAGAAAGAAACTCTCTAGAGATACTCAGTTTATGAATGCCTGGTCACTGGGGTCCATATGCTACAAAGCAGAAAACATAGTAAATAAGGGGGGAAATTACACAAATGCTAATCATGATCATTTTATTTGATTTTAGGTTCATCTTAATTTGGATCAGCAGTTTCTAGTCCACACATACTTAAATTACATAGAATAGTGGCAGAGGGGCTAACGTTTGTTTTGAGATGTCTGCACATGATTTCTTCTTATACGGCTGTTTACATGTCCTATTCTAGTTCTTACTAGAGTGGGCCCTGTGAGACCCAGACTCAACGGGACAGCCTTGTTTTTCTACGTTTCACAAGTTTTCCACCTCTGACAGTCTTAACTTTCTCTCTCTCTCTCTCTCTCTCTCTCTCATTTTAGTGGAAAATATTTGAGTTTTCTATCTCTGTCAGGTTTCTGCCTTACCTAGGCTTCAGTTTTTGCAGGTTTTACTGTTATTGAAAGTAATATACATAGTTATTTGAAATAATATTTTTATAAAATATATTCCAAAAGGCTGATAAATAAATGAAAGAACACAAAAACCACAGGAAGCTGAAATACTTTTGACTTATATAGTCAAATAGTCTCTCTTCTTTTCTTTTTTTTAATATACAGAGTCAATTAAGAAATGTTTGCTAGAGCCTAAGATGGCTTTCCACTGATAAAGTAAGAGGAAGTGTGTGAAGATTGATCAAGCCTCCAATACAAGTCCAAACAATTTCTTAATTAGGCATTTCTACCCAGGTTCTGAAGTGTAGCTTACTGGGATTGCACTGCTTTTCCTGAATATTAAAAATGTCACTAATAAGCATCCCAACCCATAGCATCTGTCTCACATATATTTGAGCAGCTGGAGAATTCATCAGTTCTTGGCCTTTTGCCACCACTCATCCTAGTATCACACCTAAAATGAACTTCAAGATCCATATTCTAATGCATTTTTTATATTCACAGCATCAATTTTCTAGTCAGTCCTTGTCAATCAGTAAATTACTTCAGGCAGTAGGCAAGTAAGGCACTTTGTGAATTTCATTTACATTCTTTCCGACTACTCTTATTCCATTTAATAAATCACTCTTCTATTAAACTATAGCATCCAAATAGCTTGACAGAGCTAATGAAATATTTGGATCAAGTTATCTGTCCCCAAGTAAGTTACACCTTAACAATATAACTTAAAATCTTCTACAATGAATAGTCAAATGTAATTGGCTCATTTTATTAATCTTGAGCCATTTACAACATGACTAATAGTAGGATCCATTATTAGCAATACTAAAAGCTTCTAGAATTGTGGGGTAAGGTAGTAAATCACTATGGTAAATTCTCATCTTCTCCCAAGTAATTTAAGTCTCATGCAGTAAAATTAAAGGACTCAATTTAAGGAAGCACTGAAAGCATAATTATCTCCCTGTTCTGTTAATCTAATATAAACATTAAGAGTATGCATAAGTAACATGTTTTGTAGCACTTTTCTGACCAGATATTTTGTGCTCATATCTTTTAATTTAGGTGCCATACTCGGAATTGGGTGGCAAAACTCTGGTGATGGCTGTGTATGACTTTGACCGTTTCTCCAAGCATGACATCATTGGGGAATTTAAAGTCCCCATGAACACCGTGGATTTCGGCCATGTAACCGAGGAATGGCGCGATCTGCAAAGTGCTGAGAAGGAAGAGGTAAGAAAACCACTAGCATATCTAATAGAACAAGCTGTACTCGCCAGTCGCTGCTCACGTATTATCCTACTGAGAGATGCTCCTGAGCAAGGGTGAGGTGGGCTCCCGCTGGCGACAGCTGGAGAAATCGGGTCGGGGCTTGCGTGACCTCATTTAGAAGTATACAGGTCTTCTGGGTGCAATTTGAAAGAGAGATTTATAAGCAGGATCTATAACAACTCTCCTCGGTACCTACATAGGTTTGTGTACACACATACACACACACACATACACACACACAACCTGCTTCTAAAAGCCTTCAAAATATCACCAATAAAAAACAACCCAAAAAAGAACCGACTTCTTTAAAAGGACAGTGAAAAATCATCTTTTCTTTCCCATTTTCCACAGTCATTTTGTGTTTTCTACAGTGCTTACATTGCTATTAAATTGAAATAAAATGGCACTTTTTCCTTGATTATTTCTGTGCTTTGCAGACAGTTCATTGTTTCTCCTGAAAAGCCCAGATCGTGATGGGTGAAACATCAAATGTATTTCAAAAAGGCTGATATTAAATCCATTTTTTCAATGACTCACATTTTTATAGTACTCTTCACATTGCTTTGTTTTCCATTTTAATAGTTTAGGCCAGTATTTTTCTGTGATTTAAAAAGGGAAGGTCAATATACTTAGTGCATTTAAGCATCACAATCATCTATTCTATTTGATTCGGTTTCTGCCTGCCTAGCCCTGGCATTTTTCTGTGGGAATGTCTCCGCAGGCCCATACCAGAAAAGCTAGCAACCCGGGGCTTCTCTGAGTTGTTCACATAACTCACACTCCAGCCACTTTTGCCTCTTGACATGGGGTCATAATTATCCAAGGAATTACCAAAAGCTTTGAGCAGTAAGCACCTTTAGCTGCTGATTCAAAGCTTCCTGATAGGGCTCCACCCAGCAGGACCTTGTGAGAAAGACTTGGCTCTCTAGCTCTGAAAATCGGCCGTTGAAAACCCTCCAGGGCCCAGTTCTACGGTGATACACATGTGATTGCCATGGGTTTGAGTTAGCGCTACAATTGGGAATGAGATGCCAGGGGTTTCACCAAGTGTCATCGCTTTGGGGCTGCAGCGAGATCAAACCACCTTGTGGTCAGTGAATACTAGACCAGAGGTATCAAGAGTGACCTAAGCCTTCGGAGAAACTATTTCAACCAAGCCATGCCCTGGGAATCCTTCAGTCTGGTCTTCTATGACCAAGCTGAAGCTGCCAACCATACACTCCCGATGTAAAGAAGTGGGGCTTTAGAACAGGCTTATAATTGGTATACTGAAATTTTATTTTGATGATGATCTTATAAATTAATATTTAGTTTTATAAAACGAATTTTTTTAAATGCTTTTTTGGGTTGGTATGTATATATCCCTTCCAAAAATAAAAACAAATTTAAAAATAAAGTCTATTTAGGTTTGTTTTATTTTTGGAAGGGATATATACAACACCACGAAAAGGAAATAAAAAAAAAACAACTTCCTGCCATTGAGTTGATTCCAGCTCACAGCAACCCGCTAGTGCCTGGCGCTGTGTGTTTCCAGTACTTTAACTCTTGACAGGAGTAGAAAGCCGCATCTTTTTACCACAACCAGAAGTAAGTCAAGGAAATTATCTGTTTATCTTGAGGCAGACATGGCTTAACTGTAGATTTTCAAGAACCACCCGAACTAATATTGAGCCTTGAAACTTCATGATTTTTAAGTATTTCTTCCCTGTGAATAAATAAATATCTAAATTAAGTCCAATATCTGTATAAAATAGAATCATTTGATCAATCATTTAATAAAATAGTGCAATGTTTCATTTTATATTTTATTGAAATATTTGACTTCATGTACATGTCTTGTGAGTTGGGGATAATGTGGAACTATTAAGAAGTATTCACTAATAGTTCAATTTTTACTATTTGAGATTTTTTATTTGTTTGTTGGTTAAATATCAGAATATGACTGACTTGTACTTGCATGCTTCGATCAAATGATGTGGGGTTCCCAGGCTGTGCTGACTGGGTTACTGAGAAGTTGAGAATTCTACTTTATCTAAGTTAAAGGCATCTGCTGACAGTAGGACAGTATGAACACCTCCAGAAGTGCCTGTTTGGCCAGGCCCTGCGATCTGCTTTCAGAAGGCCTCACTCAGCCTTGGAAACCTTTAGGGCAGTTCGACTCTGCACACTTAGGGTCCCAAGAAGTAGGAAGCCAGTGGACAGCGGTGCACAACAGTAACAGGGCCGTCAAGCAGCTTCCTCTTCGAAACATTCTGACTCTAGCCCTGCTTGTCCCTTCTCTCTCATTCTTACACAGCTGTCTTCGTCCACGTCTCTTCACCCATCTAAGACTGTTGTCATCCAGCTTATTTAAAAATAGCCATTTCTATATATTTATTTAAAACTGCTATATTCCAGCACTCCACTAGTGCAATACTTTCCCTGTCTAGCACTGCCTCAGTTTTCTTCCTAACTTGAGCCTAGCCTTGATTATTACCAACTAGATGGTTTTCTGGAAAGTGCTGTCTTTAGGATCAAACACTCTTGGATTTCAACTCTGCTAACCCATTTACTAGCTCTGAGACCTTGGACGGGCCACATTTGGTTTTTAATCTGTAAAACAGTCTCAATAGTATCCACTCCTTATCTTATGTACAGATTAAGTAGAACAGAGTATAAAATACATAGATTAGAGTCTGGTAATATGATATGTTTAATAAACAATGTATCTTTTCTGTTTTCTGGGTCCATCTTTGCATCATCTCTTTCTCCTTCCTGTGTGTTCATCTACCTCTTTCCGTAGCATTGCCTATGTCAGTCTTTCCCCAATATCATTAAGTCCCTTTAGAAGTGTTTAATGGGAAATCGTAATCCTATGACTGTATTTTTGAAACTGTGGTTCCTATCATCATTGATAGATAGTCAGCTATAGTAATTTTTTTTCCCAATTGAGTGGCTATTTCCCCTGAACACAATGTGAGAGCTCAAAAACAGATGTCTAGCTTACAGAGTGTTTCTGGATGACTAGACACCAGTAGGAACTTTCCCAAAATAAATGAACTACCTCGCTAATTATATTTCATATTTAAAGAATTACATTTTTTCACTGGTATGTGTACTGTCTTCCATGCTCATGTCCATTAACTGCTGAAAATTATAATTGTGTTAATAAACTGAACTCTCAGATTACTGTAACTTGTGTTCTCCTGATTTTAGAAAAAAGGTTTTTTGTATTTTACATGAGCTATTTTCTCCAAGATTTTAGTTTTGCTTTCATCTAACAGTGTTAAATATTGCTTTTAATGTCATAGCAAGTAGAAAGATAACAAAGAAAGTAAATTTTTTTTAAATGAATTCAAGAAACAGCTTTGGTATCTAGACACTGAACTGCTAATCATGGTAATTTGTCTATTTAGATTCTTGGATTTTGATAGAATGAAGTAGACTTTGTTGCCAGACGTTTGAAAAATATATATGTCATAAGATGATAAGGAAATTGCATAAAGGATTCTCTCTGCTTTAATGTAATGGTCGTTGACATCAATTTAGAAAAGATCATGATATAAGAGTTTTATCTGAAGGTTACCAAGCACCTGTCTTTAAAAAAAGAAAAGAGTTTAAAAGAAAGAGCTAAGCTCTACTAGAAAAGCCTCAAAGGGCGCAAAGCTCCCACTATTAAGATTGATGACATTACGCTCTAGCTTGTTTGTGTTCCTCTCATTAACACAATAGAAGCCATGCCATTGGTTTTCAACCCTTTGCCATTTATCATGCTGCTTGGTTGGCCCCTCCTTTGAAATTGGGTTTGGAGACAATACAACAGTTCTGACTTTTTTCCTTTAAAACAGATGTACCAGCAGGCTTCAAAAAGTCTGTGGAAAAATTTAAAAGAACGAAAATTTCACAGACTTATAGAAGCTCCCTCACAGATCCTCTGAGTTTCCAGAGATGGCTACTTACAAAGCTGTTTGCTTTCTGAATGTTTCCCTTTTCGGCTAGAGTATCCAAAATCATCCTTTGTAACCAACCAGGACAGCTCACCCATTTGCAAAAGCCTTCTAACCTGCAGTGTTAGAAGTCTACCCTCAGTGTGTTTATGTTGAGTATTTGAGATTTTCTTCCTTTATTTAATCACTCAACAAATGAATATTGAGCTCCTGTTATGACACCCACAAGTCAAATCTGAAACTTGCCTATATCTTTCTAGAATAATCCACTAATTTACTATTTTCACTTAATTACTTTAAATAGTACATTTAATATCGATGACTCCATTTTTATTCCTTAATAAGTGTCCTCATAAATAATCATTCCCAAAATTGTCTCATTCCTGCACTCTGGCAGTAGTTACCTACATCTTCAAAGCATTTAGACTCTCTTTTAGCATTTCACTCCTGATTTTAAATCTATATTTCATCCTCATGCCTCATATTGCTACTTATTTCTAAAAGCACCCAAAGAATTAGATACCAGCAGAAAACAACTGAGCCTTTTTGTTTTCTTTTGTCTGTTTTTAAGTGTCCTGCCCATGCGAGCTCTCATGACTTTACTGGCACTGTTCTCTCCGTCAGGAAAGAAGTCTATCACCTCTGCTTTGTGTGGAATTAGTTAAAGAGTGATTTTTAAATGAGATTCTGCGATCCAGTGCAAATGGGAAAAAAAATTGATTACTGAATTAAAACAAGTTGGGACATAATTTAATTAGTACCCAAGCAGAAGGGAAGAGAAACTACTTTGGTACCTTAATAGAAAATCAATTTTGCAGGAAAATTTCACATTTTTAAGCCTAATTAGAAAAACATTTACTTCACAGAAAGGCATTTGGAGAATGCATATTTAATCAAATGGCAAAGTTTTTAGCTTGCACTGGTTAGTTATTGATACTTCTTTGGACTGGGTTAAAGTCCTCTGGGCCTATGGCATCGTTCATGCCCAAGGATCATGGAAGGGCAGATGCTGTGTCTAAGTGTGCTCAGCAGTCA